TGACACAGGAGGGGGCTCCCTATGTGCAATAGCATAGCACTCCCGGATGCAGGATGATATCTACCCCGACAACTTCTGGGCTGAAACTGGCATCCCTTTCATCCGGTCCGCATAAGCAATAAACAGTTGAGAAGTCTGGCGAAAAGGCTTGGTTCTATCAATATAAAATGCCAGTGCCCTTTTCGTGTCAAGGTAGTGCAAAGCTCGCTCCTTGGGGGAGCTGTGGGGCTTAGGAAAGAAAACCAGCAAGTATATGTCTTGCGACATATGGAAAGTAGACACAACCTTAGGGAGGAACGCAGGGTGCAGACGCAGACGAACCCTGTCGGCCGAGAACTCTTAAGTATGGGGGCTCCACCGTCAGGGCACACAGTTCAGACACTCGACGTGTTGACGTAATGGCGACTATAAAGGCCACCTTAAGGGACAGGAATTTCAGAGGACAGGACACTAGCGGCTCGAAGGATGGACCCAAGAGCTTATTCAGCACCAGATTACGGTCCCATTGCAGCACCGGAGCCCAAACATGTGGAAACAGTTTATCTAGGCCCCTTAGGAACTTCTTCACCAGCGGGTCAGAGAATAAAGATACACCCCCGGAACCCTCATGAAACGCCATCAGGGACGCCAGGTGCACCTGTATTGACAGAGTGGACAGGCCCGTCTGTCGCAACCCCAGCAGGTAATCCAGTACCACTGGGACAGAAGCCTGGGAGGGGCACACACCCCTACACTGAGCCCACATAGAGAAACGCTTCCATTTGGTGGCATACAACTGCCTGGTGGCTGGTTTGCAGCTGCCCAGGAGAATCTCCTGTACCCCCATGGAGCAAGCCCTCTCCGAGGGCTTCAGCCATGGATAAGCCACACCATCAGGTGGAGGGACTGTACATCCGGGTGATACAGGACGCCCCCGCCCATCCTGAGTGACTAGGTCCGGGGTCAGCGGCAGGCAATAGGGGTGGGCCACCACCATCTTCCGCAGAACTGTCTGGGCCAATCCGGAGCTATCACGAGAACCTGTGACCTGAACAGCCTGGTCCTGGTTAGCACCTTGGGAACCAGTGGGAACGGGGGAAAGGCATAGAGCAGTGGTCCCCAACCTTTGCCGGTTACCCGGGGGTGGGGCTGCCCATACGCCTTGCACCTGGGGCCGGCGCCGGCATGTGCTGCGCGCCTGGGTCAGGGACCAGGTGGGGGCCACTCACGCGCCGGGCGTCCAGGGGCAGGGCCGGGCGTCCGGGGGCACGCCAGGGGACTGGGATGCCCTTGCACCCGGCACCGGCGTGTGCCCTAGGGCCG